TAGTGTGTATCACATTGCAACCATTTTGGAACTGATTACATATATCCGGTTTTGCATGTAAACAAAGAAGTGATGTAACAAAACTTGAAAAAAATCCATTCCTTGTTTGAAATTGTTATTCCTGGTTAATTGTGTGTTGCTTACTATGAAAACAGTTGCTCTACTCCAGAAACATTGTTTTTGTGGCTTCCACATGTTGTATGGAGTTGTCGAATGCTTTCATGGCCAGAAGATGTGGGCAAAATGTCAGGAGAGAATGCTTCTGGAACATGGCCATATAGCTCAAAAAACTCACAGGACCTTTATGTTGTACTAGCCATCCCCTGCCATGCATTGCTGTGGCCCAGTCTGCGCATATGTGTTTTGTGTGTGTATATGTGTGTGTATATATTTGTGTCTATTTGTATATATGTGAGCTTGCATATATATATATATATATATATATATATATATATATATATATGTAGTTTTGTGCTTGCTTTGTAATGTAATTTTTGTTTCTTGGCTTTTTAAGTCTCTTCCGCAGTGTTTTACAGTGTTTTATGAGTGATGGTCACTTGTTGGCCTGAGAGGTGTATTGTGTCCCAATTTGGTGTCAATTCGTCCAGTGGTTTTTGAGTTATGTTAATCCCACAAATGAACATTACATTTTTATTTATAGATTGGTTGAGACTATGAGAAATTCATTTAAAAACTAGAGCAAAATGTGCTATAGCAGCATGTCCCTCTCAAAGTTTTTGCAGTTTAAGAAATGTGTGCCATGTTTTTTATGATAATACTAATTAGGAAATGTCATTGAAAACGCAGGAACAAAAATTATTTTACATATTTATTTTATTTATTTATTTAGAGTTTTTGTATACCGGTCTTCTCCACCTCCTAAGAGGGACTCAGGCCTGTTTACAGCATGAAATTCAAATACAATAATAAGATACATAGTGTTGCTGTTCAATAAAGAATTCTTTAAAATATTTTAACAGTATTGTACTTGCTGTAATTTATGAGCTCCTTGAGTCCCAATTGTGTTTTAATATTTTTTCTGCATACTTTAATATTTACTTTATAGAAATGCTAATAATAAGTGTATTTGAAGGGATGTTTAAGATTATTTTGGGTTTTATTTGGTATTTTGTAACCCTTCTTGAGCTACGAGGAGACTTGGGTAAGAAATACAATTGGGTTGCCGTGAGTTTTCCGGGGTGTATGGCCATGTTCCAGACATAGTCAAAATGTCACAACCTCTGAGGATGGCTGCCCTAGATGTGGGTGAAATGTCAGGAAAGAATGCTTCTGGAACATGGCCATACAGCCCGGAAAATTCACAGCAACACGGCCATTCTGACCATGAAAGCCTTCGACAACACATAAAATACAACTATTTATATTATTATTCAGATAATTTATTGTATTATAAAAAGTCTATGTTGTTATTATTATTTAAAGAATGTATTGTATTATAAAAAGTGTATGCAGCATCTTTAGTAGCATCTTAGGGGTTGCTGCACTGCAAATGCTTAAGTCTGGCCCAGAAAAAGCCAATGTCAGGGCCAATAACAACAGCCATGAGTGGCCTACTCATCCCCTTGGTTTTTGTGACCCAGCCCCAAAGAGCCTGCAGAGAAGGTGATGCTTGAGTGGGAGGAGTCATGCTAAAGAGCCAGGTTCATTCTTCCCTCCCCTGTGCTGGTCAAGATTTACTCCAAGTATGAGTTGTTAAAATTGGGGAAAGATCTTTGCTTGGGAGATTTGATGATGGTCAATTTGTATTTTGTGTTGCTTTCCCTGTGCAGAGGCAAAGCATGGCTTGGGAGGGTGGTCACTATGACTGTGGAGCCGGGCAAGAGAGGCAGGCCCAGTGGGTTGAATGGGGAATCCTTAAGACTATACTTTCAGGGATCATTTCTGTAGTGTCTTACTAGAGAAGTGCATTTGAAAGTGATTGGGTGAGTGAACCACGAGGAGGAGGCAAAGTGTTCTCTTCTGAGCGCGAAGCGAGCTTGTGGGATCCCTTTGGTGGGCTTCCTGCTTGGTATTGATGACCGTTCTGCTTCCTTTTTGTGAGGAAGTCAGAGGGAGAGAACACAGGCTGAGTGGTTTGCCAATATTTTTTCTTCAGTTTCTAAGAACAGTTTCCTTGTATTGTCGAAGGCTTTCATGGCTGGAATCACTAGGTTCTTGTGGGTTTTTTCGGGCTATAGAGCCATGTTCTAGAGGCATTTCTCCTGACGTTTCACCTGCATCTATGGCAAGCATCCTCACTACCTCTGAGGATGCTTGCCATAGATGCAGGCGAAACGTCAGGAGAAATGCCTCTAGAACATGGCTCTATAGCCCGAAAAAACCCACAAGAACCTAACAGTTTCCTTGTTGACTTATTTATGATTTATGATGACCATAATGAAGGTTGAGAGCTTTTTCCATAAGCTGTATTTCTACAGTGAACTAGCTTTTTGCATTAGAAATAGTTATTGTTGGATGTGTTGTGGCATGCTCAGAGGTTGAGAAGTCTGTTGGAACACTAAAAAAACAGGGCAACTCTTGACAGGAAACTATCAGGGCCAGCTAACACGTTTGGAGGTGGAGGCTCCTTTGGAGGTTTTCCAGCAGAGGCTGGATGGCCATTATTATTATTATTATTATTATTATTATTATTATTATTATTAGGTTCTTGTGGGTTTTTTCGGGCTATATGGCCATGTTCTAGAGGCATTTTCTCCTGACGTTTCGCCTGCATCTATGGCAAGCATCCTCAGAGGTAGTGAGGTCTGTTGGAATTAGGAAAATGGGTTTATATATCTGTGGAATGACTGGGGTGGGGCAAAGAGCTCTTCTCTGCTGGAGCTAGGTGTGAATGTTTCAAGTGACCACCTTCATTAGCATTTGAAGGCCTGGCTGAGCCTGGGGGAATCTTTTGTTGAGAGGTGTTAAGATGTGCCTGGTTGTTTCCTCTCTGCTGTTTTGCTGTTGTAATTTTAGAGTTTTTAATACTGGTAGCCAGATTTTGTTCATTTTCATGGTTTCCTCCTTTCTGTTGAAATTGTCCACATGCTTGTGGATTTCAATGGCTTCTCTGTGTAGTCTGAGAAGCCAATATTATTATTATTATTATTATTATTATTATTATTATTATTTATTAACTTTATTTGTACCCCGCTAACATCTCCAGAAGGACTCGGTGCAGCTTACAAAGGCCAAGGCCCTCAATAAAACAACGTCATAACAAATACAACAATAAACTCAAAAAGCAAACCAATAAACATTAAAGCAATAACAGTAAACATTAAATAATAACATCATGACACATCTAAAAACTAAGGCCATCTGTTGGGGGTGCTTTGAATGCGATTTTCCTGTTTCTTGGCAGAATGGGGTTGGACTGGATGGCCTACGAGGTCTCTTTCAACTATGATTCCTCCAGGTAGGAAGCAGCCAGTCTTTGAATCTGCAAGGCCATTCAATGCTAATCAAGGTGCCCAGTTGGAACGTTCACATTTGCCTCAAGCAGACAAGAGTTCTTTCTCCTACCCTGGACATTATTCCACAAACATATAAACCTCACTTGCCTCTTTCCAACAGACCTTACAACCTCTGAGGATGCCTACCATAGATGTGGGCGAAACGTCAGGAGGAAATGCCTCTGGAACATGGCCAGACAGCCTGGAAAACTCACAGCAACCCAGTTGTTTGGTTTTGCATTTTAGGAATTGTCCCCTTGGAAATAAATATGGCTGCCTGACAGTCAGATCCATGTGGTCCTTTCTTTCTTGATGCAGGTGGACTACAATTCCCAGCATTCAGGGGCAATCCCCCCAAACCCATCAGTACAAAAAGTTGGTCATGCCGAATATATATGCCAAGATTGGTCCAGATATAATATAATACAATACAGTATAATACAATACAGTATAATATACGGAGACTAGCTTAGGTACCCAGCAATGCCCAGGTTAGGTATTTGGTAAAGATACATTTGGTAAATAAACATTAAATTGGTGATTGTATGTCCCAACTATGATAAGATGCAGATAAAATAGAGGAATTCAATTTTTTGCAGTGTTCTCAATAACAAGAGCGTTTTGAAATTCCATACCTCTTGAACAACTCTGATGCATTAGTTAGTGAGACTATTGCAAGTTTTATTCTTCAGATTATTCATTTGCAATTGTGTTTCTCTTTTTTGTTTAATCCACAGCTTCATTTTGTTACGCATGCCTGCGCTGTGATGTTGTTCGGGTACGCCAATAAAGGCTGTTGTTGTTGTTGTTGTTGTTGTTGTTGTTGTTGTTAAACATTAAAATAGTCATTGTGTTGTTGGAGGCTTTCATGGGTTATTGTATGTTTTTCGGGCTGTCTGGCCATGTTCCAGAAGCATTTTCTCCTGACGTTTCACCCACACCTATGGCAGGCACCCTCAGAGGTTGTGAGGTCTGTTGGAAACCAGGCAAGTGGGGTTTATGTATCTGTGGAATGATGTCCAGGGTGAGAGAAAGAACTCTTGTGTGTTTGAGGTAGGTGTGGATGTAGCAGTCGGCCACCTTGATTAGCATTTGATGGCCTAGCAGTTTTCAAGGTTTGCTGCTTCCTGCCTGGGGGGATCACAATCTCACAACCTCTGAGGATGCCTGGCATAGATGCGGGCAAAACGTCAGGAGAGAATGCTTCCGGAACATGGCCATACACCCCAGAAAACACACACATGTAGGTAAACAACAACTCCTATGTCATTGCCCCCAAACTGCATTAGTAGGTCACGTTGCTCATGATGGGTCTGTGTGCCAAGTTTGGTCCAGATCCATTGTTGGCGGGAGTCACAGCCTGTTAGGAATTGTGAGAGTTGAAGTCCAAAACACCTGGAGGGCCGAAGTTGGCTCATGCCTGGTCTAGAT